ATTAACTCATAAGAGGCATTAAGTGGTGCCATATGAGGAGGATCTCCCAGTATCTCGTAGTAGAGGCCTTCTGGCTCTGGCCAAGGTGGAGCAGAGCGGTGAGGCGGCAGCCTGGATCCTTCCTCTGGGAACCGATAGGGTGGCGGACGAGGGCGTGGGATAAAGACATTTGGTGGTGCCGGCAAGCTGCCGGAGCGAGTGTGAAGACGAGGAGGGCGGGAAGGAGGGGCAGCTGCTGGTGCCATCTTTCGGAGGTCTGCCGGAGAGGAGCCAGGAACCTGAAAGAAAAGAGTTTTACAATGAAGCTTGTTCAGTCAAAAGACAAGCAGGATGGCCAAGCTCATGCCAATGGTAACATAGGTCCAGTTGTCCTCACCAAGCTTCCATGTATGTGGGTTCTGAGCGGTCTGTACTGGATGTTGGCTCTTTCACCAGGGCTGACCACAGGAGGGCGCAGTTCAGAATACAGGGGCCCTTCCTTCGGAGCTGTGCTTTGACTGCACTCCATGGATAAAGAACGTCGGAAAACGGATGTGGAAGGATGCGGGGGCGCAGATCGCAGGATTGAGGCCTTTGCTGGGACTGTTCCAGTGGACATGGAAGATTGAAGGGCACGCTGGGCGCTCTCCGCTAGTTTGAGGGCCATTAAGCGTGCAGGGTCTTTCGGGGGTGGAGGAGGTGGGAGTTGCCGGCCTGTGGGCAAAGATGCAGGATATGCATTCTTCTGAGGTGAGAGAATCACGCCTGAGCGGAAAAAGGGTGAAAACAAGAGAAGCAACTGTAAGGATTCTGCCCGCTTATACTGGCAAATGTATGTAAAGTTTCTTCACCAACCTGCAGAAGGGTCTTCTTGGCCCATAAGTTTCCCTTTCACTTCTCGAATGCAGTTCTCATTGAGGCGGAGGTGGCAGGACTGGAGGAGCAAAGATAACATCTGTGGTGGAGGGGACAGGCTACGGGGACCTTGGCTGTCAACAGCGGTCACCAGGCGCTCCGGGGGACTGTGAGAAGGGGATGGAGAGCACCCGCCGGGGGGAGATAGACTCACCCGGCTCTGGAGGGACTGAGATTGGGCCTGACTGGCAATCTCTGACTTGACGGTCGTTGGAGATTTAGCTTCCTCGTGGTCGGAGAACGAGAGGCGGAAGGAGAGGGGGTCAAAGCCGAGACCATCGGTGTCGGGAAGAGGTGGGGAGAGGTCCAAGTCCTCCTCAATCCATGCGGACTGGGGACGGGCAGAGCCGGGAGGAGGCGAGGGCACACATGGAGGAGGAGGAGAGGGGGTCGACTGGGCCAAGCTCTCTACTGAACGACAATGAGGAAGTCTGGAGGAGAGCCCGTCACTTGTGGAGCGTGGTCGGCGTAGGCGCGAAGTCCGATGAAATGCTGATAGAATAGAAGAGAGAAACAATTAAAAACAAAAAAAAAAGGTTTCCAACAACACAAAAAGGAAGATCCAATTGCTATTGTTATCTACAGATTTGGAGCCTAATGCAGCAGCAACAAGACTCTCTAAAGCCATAGTCAATGCCAAAGATCTCTTGGTGGTCTGTGAGAGATCACAGACCAGTAACTAGCAGAAAGTGCTCAGAAAACGGCAGAGTAGGCTGATCCCTATCGTCCATCACCCAGACCGCGCTGAGCTTCAGCTGCCCACCCACCACTAGAAGAGAAGTATTAACATTTTTCAGGGTGTGTAAGACCATGACGATATAAGGTCCCTACCTATTAACTACATAAAGGCCCAAGAAAAGGTTAGGTGAATACAGAGGTTATCACCAAAAATAAAATGAGATCAAATCTGTGGCAGGTTCCTCAGTAGGGATTCTCCAATTTTACAGGTTTCATTTAGAGCAGAGAGAGTCAGTGCCCCCTTCTGGCAGCTCAAGAAACAAGCAGAAAATATGCATTTTATACCACAGAGATGACTTGGCTTCTGGAGGACTCTGCTCCTGTAATGCTCCCTTGGATGGAGATAGGTTGAGATGGATTTCAGCTGCGGAACTAAGCAGGAATTGTTGTAGGGTATGGCAATCAGGTTATGACCCCAGGCGTCTCTCTCAGACTTAACAGAGAGTGAGGGGTTTAACGCATCATCTGCCACGAAGAATAGGTTTAAGGTTGTGACCCTGTCCCTGTTATTGCAGTCATAACAGGAAGGGATACATATGCATCAACCTATAGAGGGATAAATGTATGAATATAGCAATCCCAGGAGTGAGGGACCTAGAGGGGTTCCAGGAGGTACTAAGGTACAGACAACGTTACATGCAGGCAACAGCAGTCACTTTAGTATATAGCCCGGATAACAGCAAAGTCTTATGGTGGAATGCCTTTCCCCCACAGGGGTGAGTACTTGCGGTTTAAGTGTTGGCGCTTGGAGGTCCTAGGAGCTGGAATGGTGGTGACGGCTGTTGAGTGGCCAGAGATCCTGTCTGCTGCTGCTGCTGTGTAGGGAGGCTCCTGGGGTCTGAGGGGCATCTGACCCAATAGTGGAACGCTCGTACAGCGTTCATCTTTTACTTTTATCGCCGCGAACGCGGAAGTGGAGTCGCGGAGCGTGACGTCACTTCCGCGAACCACGGTGGAGAGCAAGGAAACTCCTTCTAGGAAGGAGACGCCCTACGTGACGCGGCCGATGCGTTCCACACTGGGACGCAGACGGCTCGTGAACGGTAAGAACGTTACAGCTCCTTCATCTAACTCTCCTGTCCTGAGATACTCTGCTCTGCTGGAGGACTCTGCTCCTTCCTCTATAACTCTCCTTCTCCTGAATTACTCTGCTGGCGGACTCTGCTCCTTCCTCTATAACTCTCCTCTCCTGATATACTCTGCTGGAGGACTCTGCTCCTTCCTCTATAACTCTCCTCTCCAGAAATACTCTGCTCTGCTGGAGGACTCTGTTCCTTCCTCTATAACTCTCCTCTCCTGATATACTCTGCTCTGCTGGAGGACTCTGCTCCTTCCTCTATACCTCTCCTCTCCTGAAATACTCTGTACTGCTGGAGGACTCTGCTCCTTCCTCTATAACTCTCCTCTCCTGATATATTCTGCTCTGCTGGAGAACTCTGCTCCTTCCTCTATAACTCTCCTCTCCTGATCTACTCTGCTCTGCTGGAGGACTCTGTTCCTTCCTCTATAACTCTTCTCTCCTGAAATACTCTGCTCTGCTGGAGGACTCTGCTCCTTCCTCTATACATCTCCTCTCCTGAAATGCTCAGCTGGAGGACTCTCCTCTTCCGAAATAGTCTTCTCTGCTGGAGGACTCTGCACCTGCCTATATCCATTTCTCCTCTCCTGAAAAAAACCCCTCTGGAAGACTCTCCTATATCATATTTCCTTTATTAGTCTTTGGGATGTTGGATTTGCTGCACATATGGGCACCATTCTCAGAGATTCTTACCGGTCCCACTCGTGTGAGAGCAGAGCGACTCCTCGCTTTTCGCTGACCGCAGCGTGACCGTTTCAGACACTGCAGAGAGAGGGAGCACTGTGTTAAGAGACAACCTGCGGCGGTCTACAGACACAACAAAGAGATCGATGGGCGGAAACCAGCTGGTTAAATGAGGTCTTATTTACAGAAGTTTCATATTCTTTATCTTTGAAGGCACACAGTACTGCGGACTGGATCATGTACTCAGGTAGGTAAACCAGTGAACACCAATGCTAGGGGGGGTCTTATTATAGCCTAGACCGCCACTGACCATCAATGCCTTGGGGAATGTAGGGGTATTATTACAGCCTAAGCTTGGCCCCCATTGGCCACCAATGCCTTGGGGAATGTAGGGGTATTATTGCAGCCTAAGCTTGCCACCCATTGGCCACCAATGCCTTGGGAATGTAGGGGTATTATTACAGTCTAAGCTTGCCACCCATTGGCCACCAATGCCTTCGGGAATGTAGGGGTATTATTACAGCCTAAGCTTGCCACCCATTGGCCACCAATGCCTTGGGGAATATAAGGGTATTATTGCAGCCTAAGCTTGCCACCCATTGGCCACCAATGCCTTGGGGAATGTAGGGGTATTATTGCAGCCTAAGCTTGCCACCCATTGGCCACCAATCCTGTGGGGGGTTCTTTTTACTACTTAAGCTTGCCACTGGCCACCGATGCTGGGCAATGGATGTTCCTTATTACAGCCTAAACCTGCTACTGACCGCCAATGCTGGGGGGAGAAGGCATTCCTATTGCATTGTGAGCCTGCCAGTGACCTAATAATGTAGATGTATTGGGGGAGGGGGTGTTAAAAAAAATTATTCACCCCAGGTGCCGGATATGCTGGGTATGCCACTGTATATTACTACTATCAGCCTACTGGTAGCTGGAGGGAGGAACCCAGTAAGACCCTAAGGTCACTGATAAGCGATCACATGACCCACTTCAAGTGGCCAATGAGAAACCTCATGACCCGTGGACAGAAGGGCAGTGTGACTGGAGCAGTATTATAATGAGCAATGGGCGCCTCGGCTGAGCAATAAGAACACTATATTGTCATTTGTCACCTCTTTGGTGCACTGCATTATCCCGGAGGCGGGACTTTTTCTGTTGCGAGGAGTTCTTGCCGATGGCGAAGAAGGTTCTCCAGCTGCTTCCACCGCCTGACTTCTTCCTGCTGCGCGGACCTTTCCTGCAAAGGATAGAGGAGGATTATTAGACCCAAATAACAGAAGGTCAGAACTGCAGGCTCTGAAAAGTGCTGTGAGCCCCTCATTTTGATATTCAGGTATACAGTACGGCGGGAGTTGGGATCACCAAAGTACGTACATTACTTTTGGGCAGGTAAAACAATTGCTATATATGGGCTTTAACCAGACAATAAGTATAATCAGCACTGAAGGGTAAAAGCGGAAATTAATGACATGTGAATGGGCAATGGATTGGAAGGCACCCCATGAAAAGCCCTGCCCTATGCAGGTGCCAAGTTGGCTGGTATGACTGGCAAACATTCTTCCTGTGGGCACCTTTCATCGTTGCTCTCCAGCGCCCTCTCCTGCTTGGTGGGGGACATTTTCTCGGCTCCCAGCTTCTCCGCTGCCTCCCTTTGGCTCTGGCTTCGTGCCTGAGCCTCCTGCAGGCTGACGAGACGTCCGGTGGGGCAGCCTCCCAGCAGAGACCGGGGCCGGATGGGGCCGCAGCGACCTGCAAAGACACACATAGGAATCAATGTAAAAAAAGACTGGTCATGGTGGTGGCAAGAAAGAAGCCGCTAATGCTACAGAAACCAGTCTACACCTTCTTAGGTTGGCTTCAGGCCATTATATAAAGGAAGGCCACACTCTACAGAATACAGGATTGAATAAACTTCAAGGAAACCTGGGTCAAGTATGTAGGCTGGTCGGGCCTGTTCCTTCAATGGCTGTCAAGCATATCCAACAATACTTTGTGGTCCCATATCCAAAAAACCTGCTGACTAGGTGTTCTGACTATACCCTGACATGCTTGTTTCAGGTCTGTTGCTCAAAGTACTGAAGCCACAGACTGCTAGGCAAAGACTGGGAAGCCATTAACCAGTTGACATCCGCGGTGTTACACCCCCTTCCCATCCAGGTCATTTTTCAGTATTCAGCGCTGCGGTACTTTGACTGACATTTATTCCGTCATGCAGCGCTGTACTGAAATGAATTTTATACCCTTTCTTGAGGACAGATAGAGCTTTCTTTTGGTGGTATTTATTCACCACTGGGGGTTTTATTTTTTTTACTATATTAAGGAAAAATTACCTAAATTTTAAAAAAACAGTTTCCCCTATATTAAATGATAAAACATTTATTATTACCCAATTTTTTGGTAAAATATAAAAGACGGGGTCACGTCGGGTAAAAAGACACCAAACATGTCAAGCCTTAAAATTGCGTGCGCGCGCGAGACTCCCTGGTAAAGGAACACATTGCCGGGCAGTTCACAGCTCTATGTTGGCCGTGACCATTTATAATAATGAAGTCGTTATGAAAGCAAGCTTGCAAAGCAAAGCCATACAATACATTGTCCTGTTCCTTCCTCTGTACTCCACCCGACTCTGCCGTATTCATACACTGCAGTAATCCCTTCACAGTTCAGTAACCTGGCTATTCAGCTTGGTAACAAAAGGACTTGTGCAAAGCCTCTGAAAGAGAGAGGCACGGCGAGTGTGGTCTGTTCCAGCATTGCAGAACAGAGCAAAAATGACAGACAGATGCAAGGCGAAACCTAGCTGTACTGTGCAGAGGATAACACTGACACTGTGCATAGCTCTGTGCTAGACATAAGAGGTTGGAGGGTACTGTACCTTTAATCTGCACTGGGGGTGGGGGTGGGGGGGATAGGAAACATATCTATACTAGAATAAAAAAGTTAGTGATGAACATTACCGATGTTTAAAATGAAATATGCAAATATGATAGATAATGAGACGATATAATAAAATTCATTAAAAAAAAATCATATATACCGTAGTAATAGTTATGTAAGAAAAAAAAATAATAGGAAAAGCTACCCAACTCTCCTCTCCTAAACTACTACTCTGCTGGAGGACTCTGCTCCTTCCTCTAGAACTCTCCCCTCCTGATATACTCTGCTGGAGGACTCTGCTCCTTCCTCTATAACTCTCCTCTCCTGATATACTCTGCTGGAGGACTCTGCTCCTTCCTCTATAACTCTCCTCTCCTCATATACTCTGCTCTCCTGGAGGACTCTGCTCCTTCCTCTATGTAACTCTCCCCTCCTGAAATACTCTGCTTGAAAACTCTGCTCCATTTATCGATTTCAATGTGACAAATGTGACGTGAAGGAACCAACATATCATTGAGAGTTTTATTATGGATTCAGATCATCTTGTGACCACAAACATCTTTGAACACATTCCACCCATACTAACAATATATCAGTTGGGGCTCTCCCTAGACTCATGTAGGGGACAAGGTGCACGCTGAGATGATACAACAGGATGTTTATGGAACACGAGTTCAAAATAAATAAAAGACAAAAAACACAATGACAAATGTAAAAATAAAACAATGATCCTACAACATGTTGTCTACGGAAGTTGATTTTGATGAGAAGTCATCACTTGTTATTCCGTTCCATTCAGATATTCATTCATATTTGATGGCCGCCCCAACACGAGATAAACAATGTTAAGAAGTTTCTATCATTATTTGTGTATAAAAATATGGAAGTTTCAGGACTTTCTGAAGGTGTTGTGTGAGGGGAGAGGGGATCTGTTCTAACGTTGGCCAAGTCTTCGAAGAATGTCTGCTGGATGTGACCAACTTTCAATGTCCTTGCCCTGACAATGAAACTCTATGGTCATAGGACCATTCCCTCCAAGGTGATGGAGAGGGTGCCAGCGCCGGATTATTTGGGTGGGGGTAAAAATAGAGATCAAGCAACCATTTGTAACATGTCCGTCCCTCAAGAGCGATCATTCAGGAGAGGCAAGACTGGTCACAATGACAAAGGTTTTCTCTTTGTGCTTTTGGAGATCATTCATGTGACTTTCATCCCTTTAATACACTTGCAATCGCTTTGTTACTAATATGCATCATATCCTATCATTGGGATCCAAGTGTATAACCTGTAAAAACTGCATTGCATGTGGCTTCATGCAGACGTAGACCTGTAGGTCCCTTATCCACCACACCTCAAGCCAGTATTAAGACTCTCGTTTGAAGATTTACAGGACAAGGGAACCTATATAGGTCACATTAAAGGGTTAGATCAGCCCAAGTTCTCTGGTTGCTGCTACCAATAGGCTGTCATCTCTTCTATTGCTTGACTAAAATATGGATTAAAAGGGCGGTGCCTCTAGGTATCAGTCTGGAGCGATGCCTCTGGTATGTGGACATTTTCTTCATTTGGAATTTGGGAGGCGCAAGTCCTCTTCTTTATTTGGTACCATGCTTCGGGTAATGTGAGCAGGCGGAGCCTCACGGATGCGCAGGATCCTCTGCGTAAGCCGGATCCTTTTGCTGGTAGGGGAGGGCAAGAAAAAGAAAAAAAAAAAGTATAGACAACCATGGGGATATTTTTATCTTTGAAGAAGACCAGAAAGAAATTAGGAAGGGGCGAGGCATGTGGCTGCACGAGAAGAAGAGAAGCCACGTTGGGATATATGGCAAGAGCCAGCGTTCGAGAGAAGAAGGGCAAAGGCAGAAGGCAAGGCAGCAGAGTTCAGGTGCAAGCAGGGCTGGATTTACTCCTGCCCCAAGGCCAGGTTCCTCAATGCGCCCCCTCCCTGCCAACAACCTCCCCCTCATTGGAGAATGGCAACCAGATGGCAAGGGCGGCAGGGTTAGTTTGAATTTTTTTTTCTTTCTTTTTTTTATCACTTTTCTATTTATCTTTTACTTTTTTATTTTTTTATCTCATTTTTTACATTTTATCACCTTTTTTTTAATTTTATTTATTTTTATTTTTTTTTATTATCAATTTTCATTTATTTATTTTTTTACACTTTATTGCTATCACACAGCTAACAAGCCCCCTATGTGATAGCATTTGGAGGTGACAGGTTCTCTTTAATGAATCTGTCACCTCCAATACAGGAGTTCTAGCGCAGCACTGCGCTGGAACTCCTGTGACAGCTGAGTTAGGAAGGCTGCGAGTGCAACTCTCCCATCTCAAGTGTTTACACAGGGGCAGAGCGGAGAACAGACGTTCTCTTTCTGCTCCCAGTTTTCCATCCTGAAGAGATGATCTCCTTCTCTAGAGATGTAATCCTCCTGTCCCATCGCACTGCTGACCGGACAAAAACCCAAATCCAACTGGGTGGGTGCGTTGGTGACAACGGATGCCTCTGTTAAATGTAGATAGATGAAAGTAGTCACTCGCACTCCATGATATTAAAGTCGATGCTGTTTATTGACTGAGCTAACACACATCTCCTTAGCGACGTTTCGAGACCATGCGGTCCCGTCCCCAGGCAAACAGACAGACGGGATTGCATGGTCTCGAAACGTCGCTAAGGAGCTCAGTCAATAAACAGCATTGACTTTAATATCATGGTATGCGAGTGACTACTTTCATCTATCTACTTCTCTAGAGATAGGTCAGCTGGCACAGAGAGAGCTAGCCGGCATGGATGGGGCGGTGGGAGGGGACAGACCTGCAGGCAAGTGATCTCGGCGACATTGTCGAGATCACTTGCAAACGAACGAGCAGCTTCCACGATCTACATTTAGCTCTGCTTGCCCAAAGCCGGGCTAAATGTAGAAAACAACTACCAGCCCGGAACTGCATGTCTCGGGCATCGGGAGATAGGAATTCCACACCCCTGCTGCCCCTCTGCTCCCTGCCACCCCGAGGCCCAGCCTTGGTTGACCTTGTGGGAAATCTGGCACTGGGTGCAAGACAGAAATAAAAAGGAGCCATCAGTTGGGCAGAAAACCAAAAGTTGGTGGGCAAAGATAAGCAAGCGCCATCCAATGGAGGAAAAAGCAGGAACTGCCCTGGCTGATGCAATTGGATCCAATCTTGTCGATAACAATCCATTTGGAGACGAGTGGGGCGTGGGCGGCACCCATTACAGTTCCCAAAGTTTAGTGCATCTCAGTCAAAGCGAGCGAAGAGGTGAAAGCCTAAAAGCATTTTTAGCAGCTGGGGGTAAAAAAGAAGTTGTGTCTGCTTTGCTTTTTGAAGCCATCAAGCAAAAGAAGGATTGACCATCCAGCCAAAAGTTTCAACGAAGCAACATCACAGTCCATACAAAGCCCGCCGGCAAGCTTCAGCATCAAGACAACTGGACAGAGGATGCATGCTGGAAAGAAAATGATAAACTATGCAGCAGCAGAGGATGGGGGAGAAGATTCCTTACCTATGGATGTGAAGGTGTCGCTGAAGAGAGTCTCCACATTGAGCAGGAGGAACTCCACCAGGACAGACTGCACTCGCACCTCGCGAAACGCATCGGCTCCGGGTGTGCCCGCCGTCTCCATATCCCGAGATCTGCAGAGCAATGGAGGAAAGGAATCTAGTGTTTCGGAATACAGTAATACCTTGGTTTACAAGTAACTTGGTTTGAGAGCGTTTTGCAAGACAAGCAAACATTTCTGAAAAATTTTGCTTTGATATACAAGCAAATGTCTTGCAATAAGAGCAAAATTTTGTAGAAAAGCGGCACCCGAATAAGGCTGTAGCAGTGCGAGCGATGAGTCTGTTTAACGAACGACAAAGCAATGTCACATTGGATAGATTCCTTGTTAAGGTTTCACGAAATGAAAAAGATTCCATTGAGCCAACAGATAGCAGTGATTCCGTTAGTGATGGTGAAAGTCGTCCTGCACAATAATCCTCCTCTCTCTTGTCTCCCTCACACCAGCCACGAAGGTACCGGTAATTGGTTTATTTGTCTTTATATTTTGTACAGTATTATATTACAGTACAGTATTGTAATCATTTTTATATGAATATTTTTGGGTTGTGGAACGAATCATCTGAATTTCCATTATTTCCTATGGGGAAATTCGCTTTGATATACAAGCGCTTTGGATTACAAGCATGCTGCCGCAACGAATTATGCTCGTGAACCAAGGTGTTACTGTACATTGCATTTATGATGTTTCATTTTTACACATTTCCCTATATTGTTTGTTTTCTACACACTTATCATTTAGTTTCTTTGGCACACGTTTATTATTCAATCATTGAATTTGCAAAATTGCAAGACATTGAATTTATTATTCAATCGTTCTCATGACAATATTTCCATTTTAGACTGCTGAACAACGAAAGGGCGCGGCTACTTGTTAGGCATGGCAATGGGCATCACTGCAGAGTTAAAATAATTTACAGGAAAGGCCATCTGAAGAGAACACCGGGGGTGGAACTACTGCCGGTGCAGCTGCACCAGGGCCTGAAGCTGTGGGGGGGAATTGACAGAGTGGTCCATGTGTTCCTGAAGTTTGAGAAGTTCAATGTCCAGCCTTCTCCAGCCAAGCCTCTGTCACTGCCTATGATGGGATGAGCAGAGAGGTCCCGGTTCTCTTCCCTGGAGCCTGTGGAAAGGTGAGCCTGCTTAGCCATTTCGGCTCTGGAATACTTGCGATAACTGAATGCACCAGCACATGGAGAGAGGTCCGTTTTAAGGGCTGGTTCCACTGATGGAATGCACTGGAGTGTATCCTGCGTTCAGGGGCGGGAGAGGGCATGGCAGTGTATTGAAGTCAATGGCACAGCAGCCACGCCCCCCCCCCCCCCCCCCCCACAGAGTGCCTGTGTTCCGGTCCAGCATTCTTTCGGATTGCACTGGACCGGAACACAGGCATTGTTGTGCCACACATTCTAGTGCGCGCGATCGCTCTGCAGGCAGGAGGCGTGGCTGCTGCGCCATTGACTTCAACGCCACATGGGAACACTGTATGGTATAGGTCGAGGGGAAGTGGTTTTCTGAGGGACACTCTCACAGTAGGGAACACACTCTCCATTGACTTGTAATGAGACAGAAGGAGTAAGCCATGACTGTAATCAGCATTAGAAAGAGAGAATCTGCGAGATCGATATTTTCCGGACTCACCGTAACAGATTCGGGGCCCAGATGATAGCCAGGTTCCGGGCGTGCATCCCCGTGCGGTCACTGTGCATGCTAAGTTGGAAAAGATGCTTCAGCAGAAACTCCAGCGTTCTGAAAGGGGAGGAGGCAAGAGGTGATTGGTCAACGTTACTCAGAAATCCACAAGCAAACCCGACAGGCACCTCGGGGCAGGTTAAAGAGAACCTGTCACTGCTGAGCTTATGTAACAATGACTCTTCACTTTGAGTCAGAGAGTGAACGGTCACAGTTGCTGTCCTATTGGACTTGGTAACACTGTCTCCCAGCTCCCCATTGTGAAACTTGCGTAGCCTCCATTGACAGGGGAGCAGCGAAGCACTTCCCCCAATACATTGAGCAATTCCACTCACCTGTAATGTGGAGGCGGGAGCTGCTGGATTAAATCGTGAACACGAATCAGCTTTTCCTCCTCTCCGGTGGCCGACATGGCTTCCTGAAGGAGATTTGAAAATTGTCAACTGCGGAAATGGATTTTACTGCCCACCTTAGACATGTGCACTGCCAAAAAATTTGTTTAGTTTCGTTTTAAATTCGGATTTGTGTTATTTCGTTTTTCGGGATTCGGGTGTGAAAGTCAATTCGGAAGCAATGCTGGGCCTGCGTGAATATTGGGGAGGCAGATCTGTATTCGTAGTCAGGTTTGGGTGGATGCTGGAGGGTTAATGATGCTGTGGATGCTGTGCCCATTATGAGGGGCTCCCACCATCCCTGTGCCGAGTTCCCGGGGCTGTACACCCGCTGTGCCCATTATGAGGGGCTCCCACCCTCCCTGTGCCGAGTTCCCGGGTCTGTACACCTGCTGTGCCCATTATGAGGGGCTCCCACCCTCCCTGTGCCGAGTTCCCGGGTCTGTACACCTGCTGTGCCCATTATGAGGGGCTCCCACCCTCCCTGTGCCGAGTTCCCGGGTCTGTACACCTGCTGTGCCCATTATGAGGGGCTCCCACCCTCCCTGTGCCGAGTTCCCGGGTCTGTACACCTGCTGTGCCCATTATGAGGGGCTCCCACCCTCCCTGTGCCGAGTTCCCGGGTCTGTACACCTGCTGTGCCCATTATGAGGGGCTCCCACCCTCCCTGTGCCGAGTTCCCGGGTCTGTACACCTGCTGTGCCCATTATGAGGGGCTCCCACCCTCCCTGTGCCGAGTTCCCGGGTCTGTACACCTGCTGTGCCCATTATGAGGGGCTCCCACCCTCCCTGTGCCGAGTTCCCGGGTCTGTACACCTGCTGTGCCCATTATGAGGGGCTCCCACCCTCCCTGTGCCGAGTTCCCGGGTCTGTACACCTGCTGTGCCCATTATGAGGGGCTCCCACCCTCCCTGTGCCGAGTTCCCGGGTCTGTACACCTGCTGTGCCCATTATGAGGGGCTCCCACCCTCCCTGTGCCGAGTTCCCGGGTCTGTACACCTGCTGTGCCCATTATGAGGGGCTCCCACCATCCCTGTGTGGAGTTCCCGGGTCTGTGTATATGAGCACAGAGTGGACGGATCCTTTAAAAAGAAACCTGAACATCTCTAGTTTCCCCTCTAAATCTTCCATTGCGAGATTAGGGCTGTTCTGGCTTCGGTCGATCACTCACAGTAAAGGGGTGATACAGGCGGTAGGTGAGCAGGGGGTTGGGCAGCTCCCGGAAGTAAAGTTTGCAGAGGGAGCTGACGCAATGTACGTCCTGCAGATATGTGTCTCGGGAGAGATCCGGGATCCGCTCGCTGTCAAACTCGTGTCTGCAAATAGAGAGGAAGAGAGACTTCAATCAGAGAGATCATAGGGAACAAAGAAGACACAGAAATCCTCACTCAGCTCCCTGAACATATTCACAAACAACACGCTGTGCAATAACGGGATTTGGTTCTAGCCTTGTACAGTGTTCTGGATGGAGAGGACTGTTCTAGATTCACCCTTCTGCAGGATTCACACTGCATTCTCTAAATCAATGATAAGAGTTAGATAAGCGGAAGGGGAGGAGTCTTCCAGCAGAGCAGAGTACTAGTTTGGGAGAGGAGTATTATATAGAGGGAGGAGCAGAGTCCTCCAGCAGAGCAGAGTAGTAGTTCAGGAGAGTTACATAGGAGGGAGGAGCAGAGTCCTCCAGCAGAGCAGAGTAGTAGTTCAGGAGAGTTACATAGGAGGGAGGAGCAGAGTCCTCCAGCAGAGCAGAGTAGTAGTTCAGGAGAGTTACATAGGAGGGAGGAGCAGAGTCCTCCAGCAGAGCAGAGTAGTAGTTCAGGAGAGGAGAGTTACATAGAGGGAGGAGCAGAGTCCTCCAGCAGAGCAGAGTAGTAGTTCAGGAGAGGAGAGTAAAGCTGGTCATACACTGCTCTATTTTTTTTTTGTTTAATGCGGGCTGAACAAAAACAAAAAGTAGCAGATTCCTCCATCAACGCTCTGAGTGCATTGATCGAGGAATCCCCGATGGCCGCTGTCAAAACACCCGAACAGAGCCGCCAGCTCATTGGCTCCCGGCTCTTTTCATATGAACATTTTCCGGCCATCTCCTTTGATCAGCTGATCGAGGAATGACGTCCGATAGAGGAAGGAGAGGAGTCCTCCAGCACAGCAGAGTAGTAGTTTAGGAGAGAAGAGTTCGAACGATGAAAGAGCAGAGTCCTCCAGCAGAGCAGAGTATGTCAGGAGAGTTATAGAGGAAGGAGCAGAGTCCTCCAGCAGAGTATATCAGGCGAGGAGAGTTATAGAGGAAAGAGCAGAGTCCTCCAGCAGAGTATATCAGGCGAGGAGAGTTATAGAGGAAAGAGCAGAGTCCTCCAGCAGAGTATATCAGGCGAGGAGAGTTATAGAGGAAAGAGCAGAGTCCTCCAGCAGAGTATATCAGGCGAGGAGAGTTATAGAGGAAAGAGCAGAGTCCTCCAGCAGAGTATATCAGGCGAGGAGAGTTATAGAGGAAAGAGCAGAGTCCTCCAGCAGAGTATATCAGGCGAGGAGAGTTATAGAGGAAAGAGCAGAGTCCTCCAGCAGAGTATATCAGGCGAGGAGAGTTATAGAGGAAAGAGCAGAGTCCTCCAGCAGAGTATATCAGGCGAGGAGAGTTATAGAGGAAAGAGCAGAGTCCTCCAGCAGAGTATATCAGGCGAGGAGAGTTATAGAGGAAAGAGCAGAGTCCTCCAGCAGAGTATATCAGGCGAGGAGAGTTATAGAGGAAAGAGCAGAGTCCTCCAGCAGAGTATATCAGGCGAGGAGAGTTATAGAGGAAAGAGCAGAGTCCTCCAGCAGAGTATATCAGGCGAGGAGAGTTATAGAGGAAAGAGCAGAGTCCTCCAGCAGAGTATATCAGGCGAGGAGAGTTATAGAGGAAAGAGCAGAGTCCTCCAGCAGAGTATATCAGGCGAGGAGAGTTATAGAGGAAAGAGCAGAGTCCTCCAGCAGAGTATATCAGGCGAGGAGAGTTATAGAGGAAAGAGCAGAGTCCTCCAGCAGAGTATATCAGGCGAGGAGAGTTATAGAGGAAAGAGCAGAGTCCTCCAGCAGAGTATATCAGGCGAGGAGAGTTATAGAGGAAAGAGCAGAGTCCTCCAGCAGAGTATATCAGGCGAGGAGAGTTATAGAGGAAAGAGCAGAGTCCTCCAGCAGAGTATATCAGGCGAGGAGAGTTATAGAGGAAAGAGCAGAGTCCTCCAGCAGAGTATATCAGGCGAGGAGAGTTATAGAGGAAAGAGCAGAGTCCTCCAGCAGAGTATATCAGGCGAGGAGAGTTATAGAGGAAAGAGCAGAGTCCTCCAGCAGAGTATATCAGGCGAGGAGAGTTATAGAGGAAAGAGCAGAGTCCTCCAGCAGAGTATATCAGGCGAGGAGAGTTATAGAGGAAAGAGCAGAGTCCTCCAGCAGAGTATATCAGGCGAGGAGAGTTATAGAGGAAAGAGCAGAGTCCTCCAGCAGAGTATATCAGGCGAGGAGAGTTATAGAGGAAAGAGCAGAGTCCTCCAGCAGAGTATATCAGGCGAGGAGAGTTATAGAGGAAAGAGCAGAGTCCTCCAGCAGAGTATATCAGGCGAGGAGAGTTATAGAGGAAAGAGCAGAGTCCTCCAGCAGAGTATATCAGGCGAGGAGAGTTATAGAGGAAAGAGCAGAGTCCTCCAGCAGAGTATATCAGGCGAGGAGAGTTATAGAGGAAAGAGCAGAGTCCTCCAGCAGAGTATATCAGGCGAGGAGAGTTATAGAGGAAAGAGCAGAGTCCTCCAGCAGAGTATATCAGGCGAGGAGAGTTATAGAGGAAAGAGCAGAGTCCTCCAGCAGAGTATATCAGGCGAGGAGAGTTATAGAGGAAAGAGCAGAGTCCTCCAGCAGAGTATATCAGGCGAGGAGAGTTATAGAGGAAAGAGCAGAGTCCTCCAGCAGAGTATATCAGGCGAGGAGAGTTATAGAGGAAAGAGCAGAGTCCTCCAGCAGAGTATATCAGGCGAGGAGAGTTATAGAGGAAAGAGCAGAGTCCTCCAGCAGAGTATATCAGGCGAGGAGAGTTATAGAGGAAAGAGCAGAGTCCTCCAGCAGAGTATATCAGGCGAGGAGAGTTATAGAGGAAAGAGCAGAGTCCTCCAGCAGAGTATATCAGGCGAGGAGAGTTATAGAGGAAAGAGCAGAGTCCTCCAGCAGAGTATATCAGGCGAGGAGAGTTATAGAGGAAAGAGCAGAGTCCTCCAGCAGAGCAGAGTATATCAGGAGAGGGGGAGAAGGAGAACTCTTGTATATAGGAATCTGGGGCACGTTGGCAGTGTTTCTTCTGTCTGGGGGTATTTATATCCTCGGTAGAATACGGCGGATTATTCCTCTTTATCCCTTTTAATCCAGAAGTCTCATAAACTGAACATCTGGAAGGCTGACCCGGAGCTACCCACTGAGAAGGTGGAAGGGGAAGAACTATTACTGTAAGAGCCCATCCATCTACCTGGAGACCCTGAACATACCAAGGCACCCCGCGCCTCATTGCTGACATTACACTATAAAGGTGACAGGTAAACACAGGCCGGGGCAAGATGTAGGATGAAGGAAGTTGAAGCAACAACTGACCGCAGTTTCTGTATGTTGGAGGAGACTCCGGACAATCGGTATATGCCGTCCACTACCCCATACTTCTCTATGAACTGCGTGCAGGAGACGAGGACTTTAGGGACTGAGAGACAAAAAAAGAAAAACATTAGATGGTGTTACAAATTATTCGAAGACAGACTGAAGTGGGAGGGGCAGAGACACAAAACTACTGGGGGAGGTCTCACCATTGTGGGAGGGGCAGAGACAGACTACTGGAGGAAATCTCACTATTGTGGGAGGAGCAGACACAACTATTGGGGGAAATCTCACCATTGTGGGAGGGGCAGACACAGACTATTGGGGGAAATCTCACCATTGTGGGAGGGGCAGATACCCCAAATACTGGGGGAAATCTCACCATTGTGGCAGGGGCAGAGACAGACTACTGGGGGAAATCTCACCATTGTGGGAGGTGCAGAGACACAAACTACTGGGGGAAATCTCACCATTGTGGGAGGGGCAGAGACACAAACTACTGGAGGAAATATCACCATTGTGGGAGGTGCAGAGACACAAACTACTGGGGGAAATCTCACCATTGTGGGAGGGGCAGAGACACAAACTACTGGGGGAATCTCACCATTGTGGGAGGGGCAGAGAAACTACTGGAGGAAATCTCACCATTGTGGGAGGGGCAGAGAAACTACTGGGAGAGATCTCATCATTGTGGGAGGGGCAGAGGCACAAACTACGGGGGGAAACTACTGCATTACCATCCTCTCCGGAGTCCAGCAGGTGTTCGCCCAGGTCGGTCCCGAAGACCCTCTCCCGTAGGATCCCCCTCTGGCGCAGGCGTTGCTTGCTGGGTCTGGAAGCCATGAAGCTTCGCAGCAGTCCGGCCAGTTTCCCGTGCCGCCGGCAGACTGAAGAGAAGACGAGCCGCAGTGAGAAGGGGGCACTCCGCCGGGGTCAGGGGAGGGGGACAGACAGAATGATGTATGAGATGTCACACGGAGCAGAAGTCTCACCTGGTCTGGGGGAGTTGGAGCCATGCGGCGATGAGATGGCCAACTTTACATCACCCTCTGTGAACAGACAGACAGGTAACAAGAGGTACGAGACGGCATAGCCAAGCCCAACACAGACAGCACAGCGGCCAGCCTGCAAGAAGAGACTGCGACATACACTGAGCATAGGGGAGGGGGGGGGCGAGAGAGCTGACCACCCACACAAGAGACTGCGGACTCTCCATATAGAGGCTTATTCAATAATACAAGGAGCAATGTGTAAAGCATTGGAACCAATACCAACCAACCGTCACTGCCAAGAGCAGAACTACCACCATGCTAAGTGATATGTCAGGCATCTATTACCTCCTACAGAGATCACAGTACTGCCCCTAACAATGTCTTTACCTGCTATTCCCTTCAGAAGGACAGCACCATCTTTGTTCAGGCATCATTCAGGTGAAAGAATCTGCAACCTCAAGGAGGACAAAAGAACCCGCCATCAAAAGAAGGGTGAAAGAAGCCGCTACTTCAAGGAGGTGAAAGAACCTGCTGTCTCCAGGAGGTGAAAGACCCCGCTGTCCCCAGGAGGTGAAAAAACCCGCCGCCCCCGGGAGGTGAAAGAGCCCGCCGTCCCCGGGAGGAGAAAGAACCCGCCGTCCCGAGGAGGTGAAAGAACCCGCTACTTTGAGGGTGAAAGAACCCGCCGTCCCGAGGAGGTGAAAGAACCCGCTACTTTGAGGGTGAAAGAACCCGCCGTCCCGAGGAGGTGAAAGAACCCGCTACTTTGAGGGTGAAAGAACCCGCCGTCCCGAGGAGGTGAAAGAACCCGCTACTTTGAGGGTGAAAGAACCCGCCGTCCCGAGGAGGTGAAAGAACCCGCTACTTTGAGGGTGAAAGAACCCGCCGTCCCGAGGAGGTGAAAGAACCCGCTACTTTGAGGGTGAAAGAACCCGCCGTCCCGAGGAGGTGAAAGAACCCGCTACTTTGAGGGTGAAAGAACCCGCCGTCCCGAGGAGGTGAAAGAACCCGCTACTTTGAGGGTGAAAGAACCCGCCGTCCCGAGGAGGTGAAAGAACCCGCTACTTTGAGGGTGAAAGAACCCGCCGTCCCGAGGAGGTGAAAGAACCCGCTACTTTGAGGGTGAAAGAACCCGCCGTCCCGAGGAGGTGAAAGAACCCGCTACTTTGAGGGTGAAAGAACCCGCCGTCCCGAGGAGGTGAAAGAACCCGCTACTTTGAGGGTGAAAGAACCCGCCGTCCCGAGGAGGTGAAAGAACCCGCTACTTTGAGGGTGAAAGAACCCGCCGTCCCGAGGAGGTGAAAGAACCCGCTACTTTGAGGGTGAAAGAACCCGCCGTCCCGAGGAGGTGAAAGAACCCGCTACTTTGAGGGTGAAAGAACCCGCCGTCCCGAGGAGGTGAAAGAACCCGCTACTTTGAGGGTGAAAGAACCCGCCGTCCCGAGGAGGTGAAAGAACCCGCTACTTTGAGGGTGAAAGAACCCGCCGTCCCGAGGAGGTGAAAGAACCCGCTACTTTGAGGGTGAAAGAACCCGCCGTCCCGAGGAGGTGAAAGAACCCGCTACTTTGAGGGTGAAAGAACCCGCCGTCCCGAGGAGGTGAAAGAACCCGCTACTTTGAGGGTGAAAGAACCCGCCGTCCCGAGGAGGTGAAAGAACCCGCTACTTTGAGGGTGAAAGAACCCGCCGTCCCGAGGAGGTGAAAGAACCCGCTACTTTGAGGGTGAAAGAACCCGCCGTCCCGAGGAGGTGAAAGAACCCGCTACTTTGAGGGTGAAAGAACCCGCCGTCCCGAGGAGGTGAAAGAACCCGCTACTTTGAGGGTGAAAGAACCCGCCGTCCCGAGGAGGTGAAAGAACCCGCTACTTTGAGGGTGAAAGAACCCGCCGTCCCGAGGAGGTGAAAGAACCCGCTACTTTGAGGGTGAAAGAACCCGCCGTCCCGAGGAGGTGAAAGAACCCGCTACTTTGAGGGTGAAAGAACCCGCCGTCCCGAGGAGGTGAAAGAACCCGCTACTTTGAGGGTGAAAGAACCCGCCGTCCCGAGGAGGTGAAAGAACCCGCTACTTTGAGGGTGAAAGAACCCGCCGTCCCGAGGAGGTGAAAGAACCCGCTACTTTGAGGGTGAAAGAACCCGCCGTCCCGAGGAGGTGAAAGAACCCGCTACTTTGAGGGTGAAAGAACCCGCCGTCCCGAGGAGGTGAAAGAACCCGCTACTTTGAGGGTGAAAGAACCCGCCGTCCCGAGGAGGTGAAAGAACCCGCTACTTTGAGGGTGAAAGAACCCGCCGTCCCGAGGAGGTGAAAGAACCCGCTACTTTGAGGGTGAAAGAACCCGCCGTCCCGAGGAGGTGAAAGAACCCGCTACTTTGAGGGTGAAAGAACCCGCCGTCCCGAGGAGGTGAAAGAACCCGCTACTTTGAGGGTGAAAGAACCCGCCGTCCCGAGGAGGTGAAAGAACCCGCTACTTTGAGGGTGAAAGAACCCGCCGTCCCGAGGAGGTGAAAGAACCCGCTACTTTGAGGGTGAAAGAACCCGCCGTCCCGAGGAGGTGAAAGAACCCGCTACTTTGAGGGTGAAAGAACCCGCCGTCCCGAGGAGGTGAAAGAACCCGCTACTTTGAGGGTGAAAGAACCCGCCGTCCCGAGGAGGTGAAAGAACCCGCTACTTTGAGGGTGAAAGAACCCGCCGTCCCGAGGAGGTGAAAGAACCCGCTACTTTGAGGGTGAAAGAACCCGCCGTCCCGAGGAGGTGAAAGAACCCGCTACTTTGAGGGTGAAAGAACCCGCCGTCCCGAGGAGGTGAAAGAACCCGCTACTTTGAGGGTGAAAGAACCCGCCGTCCCGAGGAGGTGAAAGAACCCGCTACTTTGAGGGTGAAAGAACCCGCCGTCCCGAGGAGGTGAAAGAACCCGCTACTTTGAGGGTGAAAGAACCCGCCGTCCCGAGGAGGTGAAAGAACCCGCTACTTTGAGGGTGAAAGAACCCGCCGTCCCGAGGAGGTGAAAGAACCCGCTACTTTGAGGGTGAAAGAACCCGCCGTCCCGAGGAGGTGAAAGAACCCGCTACTTTGAGGGTGAAAGAACCCGCCGTCCCGAGGAGGTGAAAGAACCCGCTACTTTGAGGGTGAAAGAACCCGCCGTCCCGAGGAGGTGAAAGAACCCGCTACTTTGAGGGTGAAAGAACCCGCCGTCCCGAGGAGGTGAAAGAACCCGCTACTTTGAGGGTGAAAGAACCCGCCGTCCCGAGGAGGTGAAAGAACCCGCTACTTTGAGGGTGAAAGAACCCGCCGTCCCGAGGAGGTGAAAGAACCCGCTACTTTGAGGGTGAAAGAACCCGCCGTCCCGAGGAGGTGAAAGAACCCGCTACTTTGAGGGTGAAAGAACCCGCCGTCCCGAGGAGGTGAAAGAACCCGCTACTTTGAGGGTGAAAGAACCCGCCGTCCCGAGGAGGTGAAAGAACCCGCTACTTTGAGGGTGAAAGAACCCGCCGTCCCGAGGAGGTGAAAGAACCCGCTACTTTGAGGGTGAAAGAACCCGCCGTCCCGAGGAGGTGAAAGAACCCGCTACTTTGAGGGTGAAAGAACCCGCCGTCCCGAGGAGGTGAAAGAACCCGCTACTTTGAGGGTGAAAGAACCCGCCGTCCCGAGGAGGTGAAAGAACCCGCCGTCCCCAGGAGGTGAAAGAACCTGCTGTCTCCAGGAGGTGAAAGAAGTAACCCGCCGTCCCCAGGAGGTGAAAGAACCCGCCGTCTCAGGCGCCTTCTGCATGGATTCTTTTGGATAAGGTTGGAATGAACAATGTAACAAATCCTCGCTATATTATTATTGATCTGACATACTGGGATATTTGTACCTATTGTACTATAGTGTGATCGGTGTAGGTGACACAAGATGCACTTACACATTGTTCCTGTTCTCAGCATGATCAATGAATGATTATATTGGCAATATAACCCGTTGCTATGCGGATACGGCGCGCTTACACACGCTCTTTGCTCCTAGCGGCACGTTATTGAATAAGCCCAATACTGTTTACAGGACGGGGAACCCACGGGGAGGACATCATTGGAGGAAATACTGAACTGTCATTGGCTGCCCATAGACATGAGTCCGGACTCAATAGACTCATAGATGACAGTGCGGATGAACAGACGCGTCCACAAAAGATCATTCCAAGGCAGCAATCTTCTGCTACACACACACAAAAACACATTTTTGAAAAACACTGACTGTCCGCTAATATCCAGACCACGATACGGCTGCATCAGTTGCTATTTATTAGGGCTGGTAATGATTAAAACTTTCGTGTTCGATTAATCAAAAATATTTTTCATCGATTAATTATAACACACATACAGATCCAACTACATTGGCCTATACACATACAGCACAGCAATGAAGTAATAAAATGAACTAGGATCACACTAATCCAGCACGTTATTATTCTCACGTGCCCCACTCAATATGGCCGCCGCTTGAGTGGGGCATCTCAGAATAATAACGTGCTGGATTAGTGTGATCCCAGTTCATTTTATTACTTCATTGCTGTGCTGTATGTGTATAGGCCAATGCCTTGGCTGGCGCTCGTGCAGAAAGTTTCTTGGGCAAACTCACCGGCCCAAGTGGCTCCGTCAGCTAACAAAGGGGGAGGAGTCCGGTGACGTCACGGACATCGACGTCACCAGACTCCTCCCCCTTCCCTTCGTTAGCCGACGGAGCCACTTGGGGAAGGGGGAGGAGTCCGTGACGTCACCGGATCGCCGACGGGACTCCCGGAAGCCGGCGGAGAGGTGAGTGTTTTCATTTGCGATCAAAATAATTTTAATCGATCAAAAAGATGAACGATTAATCGACAAATTAATCTTTAATTTCCACAGCCCTAGAATTTATGTATCTGTCATTTGATGTCTGTGCAATGTGAAACCACACACACTATAAGGATCTATGAATGCTTCACAATGTATTATTTAGCCCTGAGGAAGGAGGAGAGTTTGGGCCCCTGAAACGTGTTGCCTTTCTTTTTTTCTTCTTCCACCTTAAAAGGGAGAACTATGAGGTGAGTGAAAATCACTCCTCCTCATAGTTCTAGCCGACCTGTGACAATGAGACTGTCACACGTCGGCTCAATAGATCGGTAAGTGAGCACACACACACATACGGTCGCTCGCTCACTTCTCGATCTATCCCTGCAGAGAGCCGTGACTGTCACTCACGGCTCCCTGCAGGGATTCCCCCCTCCCCTCTCCGATCCTCCAGCGCTGACTGGAGGAACGGACGGGGGAGGGGGAGGGAACAGCTGGCTCTGCCTCTAGATAGGCAGAGCCAGCTGTCAATCCCGCAGCTGGGTGGATCCAGGAAGTAATGTCGGGATCCGTCACGGCTGCAGCGGTCTCGGTATACAGTGAGCTGTAGCTCATGATATACTGAGATTTGGGTGACGGGAGGATGCTAGTTTGTGTTCTCCCGTGACCCTTAGGAGAACTATGGGGAAAAGCCCTGACCCCGTAGTTCTCCTTTAATTGTATACTGCTATAAAATGTATCTGGACTATTAATTAGAGATGCAGCGTTTCAATCTCCGAAATTAAATTCCGACGGGTGTTCTAGCCTTCCCCAACTTTGCTATTTCTGTCTGTGTCTCTGTTCACTACGTGTACGGCCACCTTAAAAGGTGATAGTAAATAGATTGTACAAATCAGGTCATTAGACATGTGCGATTCATTTTGTTCCGAATCAAAATTCGTATGAATTTGCTGAAATTAGGACATTTGGACACATCCGAATCCCAATGAATCCAAATGTGTCCGAATCCGAATTTCTGAATTGCGGATCCCGCCCAAATTTAGTTCAAAAACAAAACTGAATGGGACATGTGACTTTTATGTCCAATCAGATGTGTTTTTCTGTTTAATGCCTCCGAATGGATCTGAACACGAATTTGCGTTACGGCAACACTGGAGACATATACTGTCTATACATATAATACTAAAGCTGAGGCTCCCAGACCCGAATGGCATTCGGGAGCTCCCCAATGCAATTCGGAAATTGGTATCCCAAATCCCATTCTGGTCTGGGAGCCTCAGCTTTAGTATTAATATCTGTAGGATGGTTTCCTGTGGTAGTCGTAACGAAAATTAGTTTGTAAACTTATCCGAAACGAACAAAAATTCTGATTTCGTCTGAATCCAGAACCAAAATTGAATTTCAGATCCGAATCCAGAAATAACGAAATATCCGAACCGAATTTTTCTGCAGCTTACATGTCAGCAGGTTTTAATGTGTGAGCAGGTTAAAGGAGAACTATGAGGGGGGGTGCTTTTCACTCACCTCATAGTTCTGGCCGACCTGTGAAATCTTTTTCCAGACGAATGAATATTCAATATAAAAGCTGAATATTCCCATTGACCCTCGTCATCCTTCATGTCCATGGGCAGTCAAAAGACCTAAATATAGGAATATGTATATTATATACATTAGTGTGTGTGTGTATAAAATATATATATACACACATACATACACACACACACACATATACATAATATATATAATTTTTTTACTTATTTTGTTTATTTTTGTTATATAAAAATAAAAAATAATAATAAACATATACACACACACATCAATTTTACTAATAGATCTCTTGATTTACTTGGTTCCCACTATCTCGCTCATAATAAATCTATAAAACTTTCAGACACTCATCGACAGAAAAAGCGATCAAAGCAGACATGAGTGAAGCCGATTTATAAAACCAGGGGGGTCAAAGGAAGCGTCTGTTGCCCATAGCAACCAAATTCCGCTACGGATGAGACAGTGAAAAGGTTGGTTTCTATGGGTAACAGAGTTTCCCCCGCCCTCTGACTTTCATAACCGAGCACGTGACACAGCACTGCTGAGCGTTGCATCAGGGTCCGCACAGAAATCACCAGCACAACAGAGGCACACGCAGCCCTGCATGGCTTAATGAGAACAGTATGGAGCCTGGGACATCGAGGTCCAGACCCAGCGACCCCCAACCAGCGGTACCTGCGGCCGGCGACGGGTTCTTGTTATCCGTGATTAGCTGGACGCACTCACTGGGGAAGAAGCCCACCTAGGAAGACAAAGAGAGAGGCAACATGGAGAACCTGTTCTGTTGGAGAAGAAATTAAAAGAAATGATCCAGTCCGGTCCGGTCGCTGAAATCTATCAAAATGGGTGCCGATATAAGGAGGTCAGTGCTACAATTACATGATCAGTCCCCCGGTCTTAATATTGCACCTCCAACATCATCTCATACACGCACTGCACTGTGTTGGTATGTCACTCCCAGGGCAGTAAACTTAAGAACATTGCAGAGAATGCCATACTGACCATCTCACTCACATATAACCTGACTGTATAAAGCACTCTGTCAGTAGGTTACTTCTAAGGCAATAAGCCTAAGGGCATTGCAGGGGATGCCATACCGCCTGCACCAGACCAGTTGCTTCCACTTTGTTATAATCCCAGTAACAGGTGACTGCAGAATATTTAGTAGCCAGGAAATGTCACGGAACACCTGAATCCAATGATTTGGAGGGGGAGGGGCCCAATACTTTTGGCAATATAATGTGTATATATATATATATCTCCATAGTAGGTGCAATTTAGAAAATTAAGCATTCTTCTTTCAAAATAAGAATAATAAAAATAAGAATAAGAATATTAAAAGAAAAAGAATAATAAAAGAAAAAAAAAAAATCACAGCCCTCTAACCGATGGTCACCTCCTACACACTGGCTGCTTCCTTGGAACCCCCCACCCTTCACCCTACACGCAGGAAGGAAGGGAGTGTGGCCCCCAATGGCAGGGCTGGTGGGTGTGGCCTGGACCGGGGACTAAGGTCTCGTTCACACCTAGGCGTATTGCATATGCGCGACCGCCGCGCGTTTTTTTTACCGCGATTCGCGGTAAAAAAGTCGCGCGACAAACGCGCGTTTCCGAAGGCAACTTGGCTGTATCCCAATGGAAACGCGCAACAAAACGGCCCAAAGTAGTACCTGTACCTTTTCAGGCGTGGGCCGTTTTGCAGCGCGGTAGGGACGGGCGGAAATACGCCAAGGTGGGAACGAGACCCATTGAATACAATGGGATTTATATTTTTGAGCGTTTTGTAGAGCGTTCGTCGAGCGTAGAACGCGCTACAAACCGTTCAGGTGTGAACGAGGGCTCAAGGGGACAAAGGCAGTTCTATTTCCTGTCTGGACTGCTGGTAGACCCCAGTCTCCTCACCTGAAAGCCATGTTTTCCCCTCCACCAACTGGTGTCCTCCCGCGGCGGCATGTCGATCACTGACACAATGTCCCCGACCTGTAAAAAAAAAAAATTTAAAAACCATCTCAAAACACAAAATTCCTGACAGCAAATTGTACAAAACTGCCAACCGATAGACTTCATTCATAAAGCAGTGCAAGCAGCGAGGTGCAAACAGAGGTAGCAGGCCAAGCTGTCCAGCAAAGCAGCATGTACAGGGGATGGGACAAACCATAGAACAGTGACGGGGATATTTACAATGGTCGGCTAAACCTGTTGCTGTAACTGCTCCACAAAAAGTGTTAGCCGGAGTCGGGCTTTACAATTGTTTGTTGCATATTAAAGGGTCTAATTATAGAAAATTGCAGGTACATTCGTTCTGTGCAAGTTATCCAGCTGCTGTGAGAACGGGGCGATAACGATTGTTCTCCGTGTTATTTCTCTTCCGGTCGAATGTTCTTCAATAGGTATAAAGAAGAGAGTGAATGGGGAAATACCACCATATGGCCAATAGGTGGCGCTGAGGATCACAGGAAATAAACACCTGTTGCTGAGGAGATACAATGTTACAATTCAAGAGACCTCAAGAGAGGGGAATGAACATATGAATCCAACTATTGTTATGCTCTGGTTTCATTGGACGGACAAGCTATGCTTTGGTTTCATTGGACAGATAAGCTAGGCTCTGGTTTCATTGGACGGACAAGCTAGGCTTTGGTTTCATTGGACAGATAAGCTAGGCTCTGGTTTCATTGGACGGATAAGCTATGCTTTGGTTTCATTGGACGGACAAGCTATGCCCTGGTTTCATTGGACGGATAAGCTATGCCCTGGTTTCATTGGACGGATAAGCTATGCTCTGGTTTCATTGGACGTATAAGCTAGGCTCTGGTTTCATTGGACGGATAAGCTATGCTTTGGTTTCATTGGACGGATAAGCTAGGCTCTGGTTTCATTGGACGGATAAGCTAGGCTCTGGTTTTATTGGACGGACAAGCTATGCTTTGGTTTCATTGGACGGACAAGCTATGCTTTGGTTTCATTGGACGGACGAGCTATGCTTTGGTTTAATTGGATGGGAGAAACTATGCTTTGCTTTCATTGGACGGATAAGCTATGCTGTTTTTCTTTTACAAATACACCCCTTAAAGTCCATTTCAATGTCCATCTAAGACTACCCTGCGTGACAACGCTGCTGTGTGATTTCATAGGGCGTTGTCACCCTATTTGAGGAAGAAGAAAAAAGGACAAACCTACTGGCAGGATCATCACGTGATAAGGTTATGCTAAGGGGGAGGGCACTGCTGTGTTAACGTCATTTCTGTTATTGTGCTCACAGTTCCCCAATTTATCGATCAGTCGGGACCATTCCAGTATGAGCTCTGGGGTTTCGGGGGACAGCTCTATGTAAAAGCGAGCACTTCCTCCATAAAAGGATTTTAATTTTAGGTCACGGCTCCTTTAACGTGTCATGAAGCGGAGATTTGGGTGCACAGGATGACGCGGCTGCATTGTACGCGCTGGCACGGTCGCCACATCCTGCAGATAATGCCGCCGCCACTGAGCAGACAGATTGCGGACGCAGATTGTGGGTAATAATGAGCTGTGCAGCCGCACACACAGACACGGCAATGTCTGCTCCCATTTATTTCCTGGACACCGTCCACCAGACTGCACACCAGGCTCCG